AACATTTAAGAAAACTGCTCAGTCAGGCGCGGTGGCTCATGCCTATAATCCCGGCACTTTGAGAGGCCAAAGCGGGGGAACTGCTTGAGACCAGGAGTTCGAGACCAGCCTAGGCAACATAGCAAGATAAAAAAATAAAAAAATAAACTAAAAAATTAGCCAGGTGTGGGTGGTGGGTGACTATAGTCTCAACTACTTGGGAGACCAAGGCAGGAGGATGACCTGGGCTCAGGAGATTGAGGCTGCGGTGAGCCATGAGTGTGCCACTGCACTCTAGCTTGGGAGACAGTGTGAGACCCCAATTCAACAAAAGAAGAAAGAAGGAAGGAAAAGAAAGAAAGAAAGAAAGAGAGAGAGCGAGAGGAAGGAAGGAAGGAAGGAAGAAACTGTGTCTGTGTCCACGTGTAGTGTGGTATCGTAACAACACAGGCTTCGGAGTCAACTACCTGAGTGAGTACTGACCATGGCTCCACTCTGCTAGTTCTCTTGACCAGCCACTTACTTTGTTGTTCTCCTATCTTCAAATGTAGGAAATACCTTGCAGGGAGGGGTTTTGCGAGAAGGAAATGTGTTACCACATGGAGAGCATTTAGAACAGCTGTGTAGCAAAGTCTAATCAATGTTGCCACCATTATGATCTTACTGTCATCCTCATCATTGCTAAAAGAGCTACTTAGCCTTGCTCACACCTGCAATCCCAGTATTTTGGGAGGCGGAGGCGAGGGGATTGCCTGAGTCCAGGGGTTTGAGACCAGTCTGGGCAACTTGGTGAGACCTCGTCTCTACAAGAAATCAAAAAGATTAGCTAGGCGTGGCAGTGTGTGCCTGTGGTTCCAGCTACTTGGAAGGCTGAGGCAGAAGGATCACCTGAGCCCAGCAGGTCGAGGCTGAGGTGGCCATGAGTGTGCCACTGCACTCCAGCCTGGGCGACAGAGTGAGACTCCTCAAAAAAAAAAAGTAGAACCACTTATTAGGCCCCACTCAAAATGAGAATTGGATTGTGTAGTGACTGGACTTCAGCGGTTACTGAGATGGGCTGAGCTGGGTTCAAAGCTATCCTTCTGATGCCAGGCTTTCTTTCCCACTGTGGCAGCTGGTCAGACACAGAATGAGGCTGTTTCAGGAAGTTCCACTCACATTGTCCCCACCTAGAATTTCTACTCACTCGAGTTACACCCAGCTTCTTAAATGAAGGAAATCCTAGCATGACTTCTCCTAAACACAGAAATTCCTGTTACAGAAAGTTGTAAACGATTCCAGTTTGATTCTTCAAAAACGGTTCTTTTCAGAAGTGTGACTAGACATGTCTCTGATTGGCTCAGCAAAACTTAACATTCGCAGACATTTTCTACATGCAAGTTGTTTCCAAAGGTTTCTGTTCGTTTTCCCTAATAACTAGGGCGATGCAGTTGAAAGGTTAAGTCCTTGGAGTTATTCTTTGAGACAAAAATATATCTGGACCGGGCGTGGTGGCTCACGCCTGTAATCTCAGCACTTTGGGAGATGGAAGCGAGAAGATTGCCTGAGCCCACGGGTTTGAGACCAGCCTGGGCTACATGGCGAAACCTTGTCTTTACAATAAATCGAAAAATTAGCTGGACGTGGTGGCACATGCTACTTGGAAGGCTGAGGTGGAAGGATCGCCTGAATCTCACTGTAGGTCAAGGCTGCAGTGGCCCTGAGCATGCCACTGCACTCCAGCCTGGGCAACAGAGTGAGATTCCAACTAAAAAAAAACCCAAACTATATATAATATGGAAGCTGATGGCTGAAAAGCCACACTTGAGACCTTTGACAAATCTATGTTGACTGTTAAAGAGGGACTGAGCTGGCCAGTCCAACTCTGGGCTTCCGACGTGTCATTTCACCTCCTTGGGCCTCTATTTTCTCATCTCCAAGGTGACGAGAGCGGAAGAGGTGACCCCTTGGGACCCAGCTCTAAAATCTAGAATTTGAACAAGGGGCCAGTCATCCGCGGATGTCGGCTGCGTTACCATGGCCGGCTATACCACTAGAGGGTGCAAGAAGACAGGGTGACACGAGGCACTAGCCGGGAGAGAGAAAAAGTCCGTTCTGCTGGTGGCGAGCATTTGTAGGCTTTTCTTTTGGAAATTCCCTGTCCGTTGCGTTATTAGCCAATCTTTAGATGAGTCTGGAATGAATCACTCCCCGCTTTGCAAAGATCGGAGCTGTTTCTCCAGGTCACAGTCATGAAAGGCCCCCGGTTCAAGTCCTAAGGGAGGCCTGGCTGGCCTCAGTGCTCAAAAGGCACCCAGTCCAAGAGCAAACACAAAGAACGCTTCTAAAAACATGTCTATGAATTAGGAACATTGTCCTGAGCGGTGGCTTCGATGCTCCACCCTGGATTCCATTCCCAGTGGGAGCCAGAAGTCACCCTTCTTGGGGGGCGGGGCTCTTCTCCCTTTCCCCATCCCTTGCCCGAGGCTGCCCTGGGACCAGTTTCTGCAGATGGGGTCCCGGGTCCCGGGCTGCTTGAGAATTGGCACCAAATCAAAGAGTGGAGCTTTTCCTGCTGGTGATTCAGAGACTCCACCCAGTGAGGGCCTTTTCAGAAGCTGAAGAGTCTAAATTCTTTTTTCTGAGTTGGGTCTCACTCTGTCAGCCAGGCTGGAGTGCAGTGGTACAATCATGGCTCACTAGAGCCTCGACCTCCAGGGCTCAGGAGATCCTTCCACCTCAGCCTCCCGAATAGCTGGGACTACAGGCACGCGCCACCCCACCTGGCTAATTTTTTTTTTTTTTTAAATTGGATTCTCACTCTGTCACCCAGGCTGGAGTGCAGTGGCACGCTCATGGCCACCGCAGCCCCGACCTGCTGGGCTCAGGTGACCCTTCGGCCTCAGCCTTCCAAGTAGCTGGAACTACAGGCACACGCCAACAATCCTGGCTAATTTTTTGATTTATTGTAGAGATGAGGTCTCACCAAGTTGCCCGGACTGGCCTCAAACCAGTGAGCTCAGACAATCCTCTCACCTCGGCCTCCCAAAGTGCTGGGATTATAGGCATGAGCCATGGTGCCCGGACGGGTTAATTTTTTTTATTTTTATTTTTGTAGAAATGAGGTCTTGCTGTGTTGCCTAGGGCGGTCTCAAACGCCCAGACTCAAGCAATCTTCCTGCCTTGGCCTCTCACTGTGTTAGGATTACAGGTGTGAGTCATGGTGCCTGGGTTGAATTCCTTTTTTAGATAAACACTAGAAACAATTCAAGAGGCTCTGACAGTCTTGGAATTTCAGGGAGGAGAACGTGACTGGGAATTATGAGCTAGAAATAAGATCACTATACCTTGTATCTTCTATCACTTCGTCTATCAGCTTCAACCACGACTCAGCCAGCTGGTTTGCAGGAATTTTGCCTTGTAGCCCTGATTTTAGAGCCTCTACGTTGGATTGCTGCAGAATTTGAAAAGAAAGGAAATAATTGGTAATTATACATTATGTTATTATGCCCAGCAAAGGTTTAACTTTTATTTTCAAGAAAAAAAGACTTAATTACAGAAAAGCCAGATTTTTTTTTTCATTTAATAATACCATAGCTTAGCAATATCTATTTTTCTTCAAAATGCAACTAATATTAATATGTTTAAGTATCAGGACACCCTTTTCATATAGTTTGACCTTTGAAATCATGTAAATATTTATATATTAAAAACAAAACAAGCTGAGCGCAGAGGCACTTACAATCCCAGCACTTTGGAGGCAGAGAGGTGAGAGGACTGCCTGAGCCCGGGGGTTCGAGACCAACCTGGGAAACTTGGCAAGATCCTGTCTTTAAAATAAATCAAGAAATTAGCTGGATGTGATGGCACGTGTCTGTAGTTCCAACTACTTGGAAGGCTGAGGCAGAAGGATCGCCTGAGTCCAGCAGGTGGAGGCTGCAGTGGTCGTGAGTGTGCCCCTGCACTCTAGCCTGGGCAACACAGTGAGACTCCAACTCAAAGGAAAAAAAAAAAAGAAAAAGAAACCAGCAAGGATAGGGGAAGAAGGAAACCTGAAGTAGAATATAATCAGAAAAAAAACAGACCCAATTATATTTCAGACAACATAATTACACTAAACTAACCCAACTAACTTTCGAACACATTATTTTGATAATGTACCTGCAGTTAAAAGGCAAAACAAACCCATTCATATATCGAACGCTAACCAGTAGGCTTATTTTTCACAGTGGTTTATCTATGGATTTTAGAATTGAACAAATGAGTAAATATATTAAGGATAACAAAGGCCAGATTTTTTCACTGTAGGTGAAGAAAGTTATAAGTAGAGAACCAGGAAAGACTAGAATAAACCCTGTGATACTGAACTGAAATTGAAGGTATTTTTATGAACACATGGCTTTCAGTACATTGACAGATAAATAAATATACGTGTGTATTTTTGCAAGTTTGTCTGCTGAGAAAGCCTAGAAGGAATGATGTTTCAGTAGCAGCGAGCACGCTAGTGCCCAAATTCCATTTTTTTTTTAGTTGAAGTCTCATTCCGTCACCCAGTCTGGAGGGCAGTGGCCACTCCCGGCCACCTCAGCCTCTACCTGCTGGGCTCCGGCGATCCTTCCACCTCAGCCTTCCAAGTAGTAGGTATGTGCTACCATGCTTGGCTAATTTTTGATTTATTGTAGAGACGAGGTCTGGCCAAGTTGCCTGGGTGGGTCTCAAACCTGTAAGCTCAGGCGATCCTCTCGCCTCAGCCTCCCAAAGTGCTGGGATTACAGGCTGAGCCACCGAGCCCAGCCCAGATTCCATTTTTTACTTGTCATTCTCCACTGCAAGGAACCAGAGCTCCTTGGAGAAATGGGGAATAAGGGACTGGGCAGAGAAAGTACAAGATAAGCCCAGAACATGACTGCTGTACCCCATCGAACATCTACCAGCACAGAGGCTGAGGGAGCGCCTGCCATGGTATCAAAAGTCTTGATCATGGAAAGCCACTTACCCGTCCAGATTGGCATGCAATCAGGACAGCGTGGTCAGTGGAGAGAGCTAATAAGAAGGACCAAGATGCAAAAAGCCGAAGGGCACGCAAAACATTTAGAATAGAGGTGTGGCCGGGTGCGGTGGCGCAGCCTGTAATCCCAGACTTTGGGAGGCCGAGGCGAGAGACTGCCTGAGCCCGAAGGTTCGAGACCAGCCCGGGCAACTTGGTGAGACCCTGTCTCTACAATAAATCAAAAAATTAGCTGGACGAGGTAGCACGCGCCTGTAGTTCTGGCTACTTGGAAGACTAAGGTGGAAGGATCACCTGAGTCCAGCAGGTAGAGGTCATGGTGACCAGAGCGTGCCACTGCACTCCAATCTGGCAACAGAGTGAGACGCCAACTCAAAAAAAAAAAAAAATGAATAGAAGTGTGACAAATTCTCCACCAATTCCTTGGAGAAGAGAAAGGGGAACCAGTACTACAATGATGTTGCATAGTGATTGCAACTCGATTATATGAACGACTGCAATGAAGCTCATTTAGCCTATAATTATCCTTCCATAGTATCTTTTTTTTTTTTTTGAGTTGGAGCCTTACTCTGTCGCCCAGATTGGAGTGCAGTGGCCGCTCCCGGCCACCGCAGCCTCACCTGCTGGGCTCCGGCGATCCTTCCGCCTCAGCCTTCCACGTAGCCGGAACTATAGGCCTGTGCTACCACGCCCAGCTGATTTTTTGATTTATTGTAGAGATGAGGTGTCGCTGCCCAGGCGGGTCTCGAACCCGCGGGCTCAGGCAATCCACTCACCTCAGCCTCCCAAAGTGCGGGATTACAGGCTGAGCCACTGAGCCCGGCTTTTCCATAGTATCTTAAAGCATAAAATAGTATTTTTAGATTTTGATGTAGAGTCTTAGATACACTCCTGAAACCCTATTATGTCTTGGTCCAGCCCTGTTAGAGATTAGAGCTTAGAAAAAATAAATAATAGGCCGGGCTTGGTGGCTCAACCTGTAATCCCAGCACTTTGGGAGGCCGAGGTGAGAGGATTGCCTAAGCCCTTGTGTTCAAGACCCATCCGGACAACTTGGTAAGACTTCATCTCTACAATAAACCAAAAGAAAAATTAGCCAGGTGTGGTAGTGCTCGCCTGTAGTTCCAGCTACTTGGAAGGCTGAGGCAGAAGGATCGCCGGAGTCCAGCAGGTCAAGGCTGCGGTGGCTGGGAGCGTGCCACTGCACTCCAGCCTGGGCGACAGAGTGAGACTCCAACTCAAAAATAAAAAATAAAAAATAATATAACTTGGAAATCAAAATACTGCTGGGCATGGTGGCTCACACCCGTTATCCCAACGGTTTGGGAGGCTGAGGAGAAAGAATTGCCTGAGCCCAGGAGTTTGAAACCAGCTTGGGCAACATAGCAAGAACTCGTCTCACAAAAGTAAAAAATTAGCCGGGAATGGTGGCACACACCTGTAGTCCCAGCTACTCAGGAGGCTGGGATGGGCAGTTTGCCCGAACCAAGGGGGTTGAGGATGTGGTGAGCCATAGTTGCTTGTGTAAGACCCTGACTCAAAAACAAAACAAACAAAAAAACTACTAGTACTAGATGGATTTTTTTTTAATTGTAAAGACGAGGTCTCGACAAGTTGCCCGGGTTGGTCTCGAACCTGCGGGCTCAGGCAGTCCACTCACCTCAGCCTCCCAAAGTGCTGGAATGACAGGCTGAGCCAACAAGCCCGGCAATCCTTCTGCCTCTGCCTTCCAAGCAGCTGGAACTACAGGCACGAGTCACCATGCCCAGCTAATTTTTTAAAAAATTTATTGTAGAGATGAGGTTTCTCCAAGTTGCTCAGGCTGGTCTCGAACCTGTGGGCTCAGGCAATTCTCTCATTTCAGCCTCCCAAAGTGCTGGGATTATAGATGTGAGCCACAGCCCCCAGCGACTAGATGAATTTTATCACTACCTGATAAGAGAAACTTAGTATCTTTGACTTAACTAGAAATATTCCAATCATGCCCCTTGTCCTCACCAGTCTAGTTGACCAATGCCAACTAGATGGATAATCACAGATACCCTATGTATGCAGTTTTCACCAGAAGAAACTTCCCAGCCTCCAAACAAGGGAAGTTCCCCTAGTCTGCAGCAAGACTGGAAAATGTCAGACACTGGTTGCTCTAAGCCACTGTCTTCCTACGATAAAGATTTTTTAACCGCAATAACAGCAAAACTCTAAGGGTTCCAAATTGCTATTGAAATGAATCATTCTCCAGATACAAATTGTGGCAGACACCAAATTCTCGCTCCACCCCACTCCTGCCTTTTCCGTCTCCCCTCTTCCACAGTAAGAAAACTTTCATCTGAGCACGTGACTACATTTTCTTTTTTTTTTTTGAGTTGGAGTCTCACTCTGTCGCCCAGACTGGAGTGCAGTGGCTGCTCCCAGCCACCGCAGCCTCGACCTGCCGGGCTCCGGCGATCCTTCCGCCTCAGCCTTCTGAGTAGCCAGAACTACAGGCGCTCGCTACCACGCCCGGCTGATTTTTTGATTTACTGTAGAGATGAGGTCTCGCTGCCCGGGCGGGTCTCGAACCCGCGGGCTCAGGCAATCCACTCACCTCAGCCTCCCAAAGGCGCGGGATGACAGGCTGAGCCACCGAGCCCGGCTGTGACTACATTTTCTATGTCCTTGAAGTTGGATGTGGCTGTGTGACTGACCGCTGGCCAATGGAAGGTGCTGGAACTCAAGTGTGTTCTGGGTCTTCTGGGTCTTCCCTTCAAGGGAAAGGCCAGTGTCATCTTTCTACTCTTTTCTCTTCTTTTTTGGTTTTCCCTTGGACCTAGAGTCTTAGATCAGACATATTCCTGAAACTCCATATGTCTTGGTCTAGCCCTGGCAAGATTAGCTCTTAGAAGGAAAGTAATATTAATATAATTTAGAAATTGAAAACACTAATCCCAGCTGAATGGTATCACCCTTGATAGGAGTAACTTAACTTTGACTTGATTAGAAATATTTCAAACATGCCCGCTTGTCCTCAGGCCGGAGGGTGGATGTACTGGTGAGATATCTCTACTATGAGGACAATGATAACCCCTTAGTGATGACAGAGCAACCAGGAAGTAAGAATCTGGGTCTTGGTGGCTTTCACCTGTAATCCCAGTATTTCTGGAGGCTGAGGCAGCATTGCTTGAGCCTAGGTGTTTAAGACCAGTCTGGGCAACATTGTGAGCCCGTCTCTGCAACAAATCTAAAAAACTGGCCAGGCATGGTGATGCATGCCTGTACATCCAGCTACCTGGAAGGCTGAGGTGGGAGGATTGCTTGAGCCTAAGTGTTTAAGATCAGCCTGGGTGACATTGTGAGCCCCCGTCTCTGCAACAAATCTAAAAAATTGGTCAGGCATGTTGGCGCATGCCTGTAGACCCAGCTACTTGGAAGGCTATGGTGAGAGGACTGCCTGAGCCCAGGATTTTGCAGCTGTGGTGAACCGTGATCGTGACACTCAAAAAAAAAAAAAAAAAAAAATAGAAAAGAATAGAGTCTAGGCCGGGCTCAGTGACTCAGCCTGTCATCCCAGCACTTTGGGAGGCTGAGGCGAGTGGATTGCCTGAGCCCGAGGGTTCGAGACCAGCCCAGGCAACTTGGTGAGCCCTCATCTCTACAATAAATCAAAAAATTAGCCAGGCGTGGTAGTGCGTGCCTGTAAGTTCCAGCTACTTGGAAGGCTGAGGTGGAAGGATCACCAAAGCCCAGCAGGTCAACACTGGGGTGGCCATGACTATGCCACTGCACTCCAATCTGGGCAACAGAGTGAGACTCTAACTCAAAAAAAAAAAAAAAAAGACAGAAAAAAGAAAAATAGTCTGGATCTCTAATACCACTGAACCTCCATACTAGCTTTGAACCACCTACCTCAACTGTTCCTAAAGAAATCACTCCTACCTCGTTGATCACTATATTTTGAGGTCTTGTCATTCACTGCGGTGAAAAGGAAGTACAGAAAAGAGAAACTTACCAGCCGTTCCGCCATGACCAGGAGAGTGTTCACCGCATCCAGGCGATGACTAATGTCCTCCCAGTATGAGGTCAGGGTCACAACTGGCTTTGTGTGGGCCCACGGCAAGTAATAATAGTAGTTCCCTGGTGTAAAACACGGGAGGTGGGTCAGTGACCTCTGGACACTTAAAAAAGAACATGTGTATTAAAGACACATTCAGACTCAGCTGCTGATGGGCTCACGTGCTGGGAGAGTGGTCTGGGCAGTCTGGTTCTTTCACTGAATTCAGTTACTCAATGGAGGGACAGAAAATGCTTTCATTCAATCCTTGAATATTTCGGTAAAACACCTTAGAAAACTGAGCATGATCGTCTCAGGAGGTTTTAGTGATTCTGGGTCATGCAGCTGGACATCAGTGATGATTACAAGGCAAGGCAGCAGGAAATGAGATTGAGGCTGGGCGTGGTGGTGGACACTGGTAGTCCCAGCATTTTGGGAAGTTCAGGCAGGAGAACTGCTTGCATCCAGGAGTTTGAGACCAGCCTGGGCAACATTACAAGACCTCTCGCTACAAAAATAAAAAATAAAAAAATTAGCAGGGTGTAGTGGTGTGTGATTTATAGTCCTAGTCATTCAGAAGGTTGAGGCAGAAGGATCGCCTGAACCCAGGAGGTAGAGGCGGAGGTGAGGCGTGATTGTGTCTGTGTATGCCAGCCTGGGCAACAGAATGAGATCACAATTCAAAAAGAGAGAAAGAGAGAGAAAAAAAGAAAGAGAGAAAGAGATCAAATGTGTTTGTCCCTAGAAAGTGTTAATTCTAAATAAATATTTTTGTTGAAAGTGAGCCAAAAGAAATGGGGTTTGGTATTATCAGAGTCTTACTACATTTAAGAATTATAGCCAGGCTCGGTGTCTCAGCCTGTAATCCCGTGCCTTGGGAGGCTGAGGTGAGTGGATTTCCTGAGCCCGCGGGTTCAAGACCCGCCTGGGCAACTTGGCGAGACCTCATCTCTACAATAAATCAAACAATTAGCCGGGCGTGGTGGCATGTGCCTGTAGTTCCAGCTACTTGGAAGACAGGCGGAAGGATCGCCGGAGCCCAGCAGGTCGAGGCTGCGGTGGCTGGGAGCGGCCACTGCACTCCAGTCTGGGCGACAGAGTGAGATTCCAACTCAAAAAAAAAAAAAAAAAAAGAATTATTAGTTGCCAGGCATGGTGACTCACGCCTGTAAATCCCAGTACTTTGGGAGGTAGAGGTGAGAGGAATGCCTGAGCCCAGGGATTCGGGACCAGCCTGGGTAAACCGGCAAGACCTCGTCTCTATAATAAATCAAAAAATTAGCTGAGCATGGTGGTACACGCCCGTGGTTCCAGCTACTTGGAAAGCTGAGGCGGAAGGATCACCTGAGCCCAGCAAGTCGAGGCTGCGGTGGCTG